CTAGGGGAAGTGTCAGATTAAGAGGGGGGCTAATTTCCTCCTTCAGTCCCCCCCCCAGCCTCCTGGCCTGAATCCCCCGTCTGCCCCATGGGAGAGCCGGCAGCAGTGAAGCCATGGCCCAGCAGTGTTCCCTCTAAGCTGAGTCATGTGAGAGCTAGCTCACAGTGCTTTAGCCTCCAGCTCACACATTTTTGTCTTTGCTCAGGAAGGGATGGGGCTCCAGAGCAAGCTGATTGAGGCAGCAGCCAAATCGCTCGCTCACGACTTTAATGCCAGTGGCAGCTCACAAAGTAGGATTTTTGCTCACAGGACTCCACCGCTTAGAGGGAGCATTGCCCAGGGGAAAACTCACAGCAGCAGAGCAGGGGAGGAACTGGGGGTCCTACTGTTAACAGCCTACTTGTATTTATTCTGTAGAAGCAAATCAGGTCTGAACAGTGCTTTGGAGACAGCAGCAGGTAGCTAAAAGTGTTCTGGAAGCCTCACAACCCTCGGGAAGAACTCCTCGCACACCCTTTGTCACTCCTCTGCCCCCCCTCTGGATGCCAAGGGGCGTGGCAAGCCAGGATGGCCCCCTCGGCCAGATACCCAATGCCGGAGAAGGAAGAGGAAGAAGAGGAGGAGGAGGAGGAGGAGGGTCCCCTCCCCGCCCCAGAGCCCTACCTCCGTCACCACTGCTGCATGGCTGACAATCGTGGACACCCCAGGCAACGCCATGCCCACGGCAGCAGATTTCCCGGGTGCGCAAGCCCGGCAGGGGGGCACTGCACTGAAAGAAGAGGGGGGGAAGGAGGAAGGGGTTCAGTGGGCCTGGGGTGCTCCCACCCAGCCCAGCAATGCCTGACAGCGAGCAGCCCCCGGCCCGCCTTGGCTGCACCAGCAAGCACAGGGCACACGCCAGCGTCTCTGTGCTCACGCCTGCCACCGCGCTGGGGCACCACCCCTCCATGCCCAGCCACCAGCCAAGGCCGCCACGGCCCCTGGGCCACAAACCCCCTGCCGGCCACCGTCTCCTGCCTGCTCTCGGGCGGCTTTTGTGGACATGCCCAGCGCAGGAGGACAGAGGAGGGGGAAGGCGCCTGAGCTCTCCCCCCCCCCTTGCAGTGGCTCTTCCAGGGGAAGGATGGAAGGAAATGCACCCTCCGCACTGTGGGAACAGTGAGCCCCAGGAACAGCTCCCCCCCGTGGTTCCATCCTCCTGGCAGCTCTAAGCAAGCGGGTGTGTGGGGAGGTTAATCAGGTGTCCCTCCTCCCCTGGATGGAGGAGCTGTGGGGCCCCCAGATGGCCAGCCCCCTCTGTCAGTTCTGACCCCACGGGGGCATGAAAGCCACAGCCCGAAGGTCAGGCAGAGTCTAGTGCCAAAGAAGAGCCCCAGCCAGCCGCACAACCTCCCCGTAAGGACCCTGGCATGTTTCCAAGGGACCCACAGAGGGAGGAGGCCACCTCTAGAGGGAAGGTAGACCGACACCAAGAAGCGCTCGGATCCAGGCCTGGGCAGGCGGTGGTGGCTCCTCCGGGGTCACCCGCCCGGCCGGTGGGCGCACAGGGCAAAGCCGTGCCCTCCTCAGTTACCTCTCCGCCCCGCAGGTGCCTGAAGCAGTAGCCGAAGCCAGAGTCCTCGCTGTAGCCCGCGGGGTCCCGCGAGCTGCTCTGCGCCAAGACGCTGTAGAGGGCGGGACGGGAGAAGGGGAGGGCGTTGGTGTCCCCGGGGGGCAGCTCCTCATCCTTCACCCGCTCCACTTGGTGGATGGTGACCGACGCCTCCGGGGGGTGCTCCACGTGGACGTTCGCCATCGAGGCCACACCTGGTGAGGGGACAGGTCACGGCAGCAATCACAGGCGCAGGGAGAGGGGGGGGAGGGAGGGAGCCGTGGGCAGGGAGGGGCCTTTGCCTCCCCCCACCTGAGCCACTCCCGCCCCCTCCCCCGCGGATCCACTGGCGTAAGATAACAGTCAGGTGAACATCCCGGGGGGGTATAAACGGTAGGAGGAACGTCCCGGGGGTGGGTGGGCGGGGGGGGCAAAACGCCAGGGTCTGTCAACCCAGGAGTCAGTGTGAGCCAGCTCACAGTTTCTTAGCCTCCGGCTCACAGATTTTTGCCTCCGCTCAGGAAGGAAGGAGGGGGCTCCAGAGAGCAAACTAGTTTATGCAGCAGCCAAAGTCGCTCATGGCTCACAGCTTTAATCCCAGGTGCCCGCAAAGTGGAATTTTTGCTCACAAGGAGACTCCGCAGCTTAGAGGGAGGCAGGGGTGCTCAGCCAACAGGGTACCTCCCAGGCGAATCAGGCCCAGGTGGGTCCCTCGCGGAGTCTCTCTCTTCCCCACAGCAGCCAGCCTGGGGCCCCCGGGGAAGCCCTCTGGAAGAGGATGGACATGGGGCGGGTGGGCAGGGCTGGCCTTCGCCAGCAGGGGTTCCTCCCTTCGTCCCTGGATTTAGGGACTGATACTCCCTCATTTTAGCCTCACAACCACACACACACACACCGAGATAACCTCGGCGGAGAGCGACTGGTCCCCCCCGGGGGCTTCCATGCCAGAAGGAGGATTTGAACCAGGGGCTCCCAGACCCTACTCTAACCACTACCCCACGCCGGTTCCCCCAGAGGGACATTTTTCTGCATGCTTAAACTACCTCTTCCGGACCACACCCCCCCCCCCCCCGCCAGCCCCGTGGTTTGGCGATCTGACTCCTCATCTGGGAAGAGAATGTGGCCCCCCTTTCCTCACCTCTCCGCCAATGTTTGCGGCCAACCTGTCTCCGCTCCTCTTTATCCCTCTAGAGACCCTCTTGCCCCCCCCCGGGGGGCCACGGTCAGTGTCCCAGTCTCCTGCTTGCTTCGCACGGCCTGAAACGGAGCCTCACGCCTCCTCAGAGGAACTTGGGCCGGAAGAGAGGGGAATGAGGCCGCTATTCTCCGGCCGATGCCTACCGGTCTGGACCTCCTACACCTCAGCTGCACACGGCCAGCCCCAGGGGGCTCCACCACCCCCCACATCGCCCCCCCATCCACGAGCTACTGGCACCCCCCAACCCCCCCTTACCGTCACGCTCCTGGCGATGGTTGGCAATGGGGAGGGTGTACATGGACTTGGTCGCCCGCTGGGCTCCCCTCTCGGAGGGAGAGGCCTCGTCGGCTCCTCGGCGGGTGGGGGCCTGGTTCTGGGAGTGAGGCGGCGCCGGGATGTGGCAGAACTTGCCGGTCCAGTTGGGAGGGCAGAGGCACTTGTCCTTTTTCAGGCAGACCCCCCCATTTTGGCAGATGAGAGGGCACAAGACTGCAGGACAGAGGAGACCAGTCAGTTGGTGCCACGCGCAGCCAGCCATAAGAGCATCAGAAGAGCCCTGCTGGGTCAGACCAGGGAGGGTCCCTCCAGTCCAGCATATCCCGTCTCACACAGGGGCCAGCCAGTTCCTCCGGAGGGCCAGCAACAGGGCAGAGAGGCCGAGGCCTTCCCCTGAGAAGGACACCAGAAGAGCCCTGCTGGGTCAGACCAGGGAGGGTCCCCCTAGTCCAGCCTCTCGTCTCACACAGGGGCCAGCCAGTCCCTCTGGAGGGCCAGCAACAGGGCAGAGAGGCCGAGGCCTTCCCCTGAGAACATCCTCAGAAGAGCCCTGCTGGGTCAGGCCAGGGAGGGTCCCTCCAGTCCAGCCTCCTGTCTCACCCAGGGGCCAGCCAGTCCCTCTGGAGGTCCAGCAACAGGGCAGAGGCCGAGGCCTTCATAAGAACATCAGAAGAACCCTGATGGATCAGACTAGCGGTCCACTGAGACCAGCCTCCTGCCTCACATATTGGCCAAACAGTCACTATGTATGGTGAACAGCAACAGGGCATAGAGGCCATGGCCTTCCGCTTAGGAGAACATCAGAAGAGTCCTGTTAGATCAGACAGGTGGTCCATCCAGTTCAGTATCCTGCCTCACACACAGCAGTCAACCAGTTCCTCTGTATGGCCAACGACACAGCACAGAGGCCGAGGCCTTCATAAGAACATCAGAAGAGCCCTGCTGGATTAGACCAGACCAGTGGTTCATCCAGTCCAGTCTCCTGTCTCACACCTTGGCCAACCATTTCCACTGGATGACCATAAACAGGGCAGCAGGGCCAAGGCCTTCCCCCGATAATCACGTAAGAAGAGACCTGCTGGATCAGACCAATAGCCCATCTAGTCCGGTTTCCTCTCTCACACGGGCCAACCGGTTCCTGTGGATGACCAACAACAGGGCAGGGAGGCCGAGGCCTTCCCCTGATAAGAACATAAGAAGAGCTCTGTCTGACCAGACCAGTGAGGGTCCATCTGGTCCAGCCTACTGTCTCACACAGGGGCCAACTGGCTCCTCTGGAGGGCCAGCAACAGGGCAGAGAGGCTGAGGCCTTCCCGAGAAGAGCATCAGAAGAGCCCTGCTGGGTCAGACCAGTTGTCCGTCTAGGTCTCACACAGTGGCCAGCCAGTTCCTCTGGAGGGCCAACAGCAGGGCAGAGAGGCCAAGGCCTTCCTCCATTGTTACCTCCTGGCTTTGGGATTCTGAATGCGGAGGTTCCCTTTAATCGCCTTGGCTAGTATTTATTTATTATTTTCCATTTGTGTCCCGCCTTGCCGGTGAGCTGGCTCAAGGTGTCACTGAGAGACCTATCTTCCATCAATCTGTTCAGTCTTTCTTTCGTCCCACCTATGCTCTTGGCCACTGCATCCTCTGGCAGCAAATTCCATGTTCTAATCACCGTCTGTGCAAAGTAGTATTTCCTTTGGTCTGTCCTGAACCTACTGCCCGTCAGCTTCACTGGATGCCCTCGGATTCTAGTATTTTGGGAGCGGAAGTCCAAGGGGGCTTGCTTGAAACCACTCAGCCACAGCAAGAGCTCTGACCCCCTCCCCACTCAGCCCCCACCACGGGCCCGGCGTAGAGACCCTGAACCCCAGCCTCTTTGATCCTCAAATCCACTGCTGGCTTCTCCTCCCCCCCTTCCCACATCCGACGCTGGAGCAGAACCGCTCCAGCAGACAGGAAAGTCAGCCTGCACCCAGGAGAGGCATCATCCTGACGCAGAACAGGAACACTTCCCGCCCTCTCCGAAAGAGAGGGATGCCACAGACGGTGACCCCGCAGGATGCCGCAGGGATGTGCCACGATTCAGGCCCTCGTCCGTCGGTTGTCAGAGGCCTCCGCTGCTTTGGCTACGACAGACTCACACAGCCACTCATCCCCAACGTGTCCCACCCAGACCAGGTCACTGGACCGGCAAAGAGCCCTGCGAACCCCTCGATTTGGGGGAATGACCCTGAAGGCTCGGAAAGGTCCAGTGGGCGCCTGCCAGCACCCAGAGGAATGCTCACAGAGAAGGCTCACGCGCACGTGAAGCGCTCTCTCTGCCACACGCCACACCTTTCCGAAGGGGAGGGACCAGCCTCAGGCAAGGGAGCGATGACCTGTCTTCATTTTGACCTGGGAGCCATTCATGGGAGAGCCCAAAGGGGGGACGGGGCCCTGAGCCCAACGGGACCACCCCCTAGGCTCCCCTGCCGCAGGTCTGCTTGTCTGCCAGCAGCTGGGCCTTCTCACTGGTGGCCCCCGCCTTGTGCAACAGCCTGCCCCGAGGAGGCCAGGAAGGCTCCCAGACCACCGCAGGACGGCCAACACTGAAGCGTTCGGGGGGGGGGTGTCACTTGTAAAAAGAGGTTAAAAATGGCGGCAGAATGGAACAGCTCCAGAGGCGGCTTGCAGAAAGGATCCGTGTTCAATGCTGTGTTTATTGTCTCAGTGGTTAAGACCCTGAACTGCAGACCGGAAGGTCAGTCGCTCGGCAGTTCGAGACCCGAGTGTGCCGCGTGATGGAGCGAGCTCCCATCTCTGGTCCCAGCTCCTGCCAACCTAGCAAGAAACTGCAAGTAGATAAATAGGTACCACTTCAGTGGGAAGGGAACAGCGTTCCGCGCACCTTGGCGTTTAGTCATGCCAGCCACACGACCATGGAAACGTCTTTGGACAGCGCTGGCTCTTCGGCTTGGAAATGAAGATGAGCACCGCCCCCTAGAGTTGGATTCGACTGGCTTTTGAGCAAGGGACACCTTTACCTTATTGTGTCTATTGCCTTTACCTTGTAATCTACTTAGAATCATAGAATCACAGAGTAGGGAGGGACCTCCAGGGTCATCTAGTCCAACCCCCTGCACAATGCAGGAAATTCACAAATACCCTCCCCCTCCACACCCCCAGTGACCCCTGTCCCACGCCCAGAAGACGGCAAAAAACCTCCAGGATCTCCGGCCAAACTGGCCTGGAGATAATTGCTTCCTGACCCCAAACTGGTGGCCAGCATTTCCCCTGGGGGCATGTAAGAAAGGGCCACAAGATCCCTTCTCCTGATCTGCATTGCTGTCAGATGGCCCATCTAGCCTCCAAAGAAGGAGAGCCCACCACCACCACCTCCCGAGGAAGCCTGTCCCACTGAGGGACCGCTCTAACTGCCAGGAAGTTCTTCCTCATGTTTAGCCAAAAGCTCTTCTGACTTAATTTCAACCTGTTGGTTCTGGTCCGACCTTCCGGGGCCACAGAAAACAACTCCGCGCCATCCTCTAACTGACAGCCCTTCGAGGACTTGAAAATGGTTCTCATATCCCCTCTCGGGCATCTCCTCTCGAGGCTAAACATACCCAGTTCCTTCAGCCTTTCCTCACAGGACTTGGTCTCCAGACCCCCTCACCCTCTTCGCTGCCCTCCTCTGGACACACGTTCCAGCTGGTCTGTATCCTTCTTAAATTGTAGTGCCCAAAACTGAACACAGCACTCTAGGTGAGGTTTGGCCAGAGCAGAGTAAAGCGATACCATCGCTTTGTGTGATGAGGACACCGTACTTCTGTTGATGCAGCCCCAAATCGCACTTGCCTTTTTAGCGGTAATCCTAATCCCATTGTGCTCTTCACTGAATGTCTGGCGGTGTCTGATGGCACCATTTTACCTTCTATAACCTGCCCTGCGTCTCCGCAGGGAAAGTGGGCTGCAAATAAACGCACCAGCAAATAAATGAGGGGTCTTGTGAGGAGGGCCCATCTGAGCCGCAAAGTGGTCGTCTCTGAGTGCCGCAGCCTCGCCGGGCTGGAGACCTTGAGATTACGGCCCAGCTACACTTTGGCCTCAGGACGGCATTCTGCCCCCTTCGGCCCTCCAGTCTGCAGTGCGTGTGTGTGTGTGGGGGGGCTCATCTGCCGGGCCTCAGAGGCGCCTTCCTGCTCAGTGCCAGAGGACCGGACATCACCCAGACTCCTTTGCGCCTCCACACTCCGGTTGTCTCTCCCCCACCCACCCCCCGCATCCTTCCTTGTGCCTGCCCCCCCCCCCGAAGGGGGGGATGGGGCCAGCTCCCCTGTGGGAAAGGGAAGTCCACTTGCCCCCCCCTCCCAGGCGC